CGCTCCTGCGTGCTTTGTTGTTAATCTGAATCCCTGTTTGTGCACCAGAAAGGCAACCATATGTTTCATTCTCTTTGTGAGTCAGATAGCTAGGGGGCAACCACAGGATCTATTCCACTGACACATGGCCTGACATTTGACTTCCCTATTGTGTCCCTATTTTCTGTTTTCAAAGCCTGTGTAATTATTTATATGTGCTTTTGTTGTTGTTTGTTTTGTTTGGAATTGCTTGCAGAAACATAGTGCAGTGTTCATTTTACAAAGGATTAGAAGCAGTGGCGGGCATAATAAATAGGAATCCCTCCACCTTCTAAGGTGATTGAAAGCAAATGGAAAACCGGTCCAACATTCCAATCCTGGGGCAATTCTGCTACCCTTACTCAATTATTATTGCTTGTATTGCAGTAGCATCTAGGCACCCCCGTCAGGGACTAGGACGCCGTTGTGCTAGGTGCTGCAGTCCTATTGACTTCAGCAGGGCTGTTCACAGAGTAGGCTACTATCCTCATGAGTAAAGGTGGCGGAATTTGGTCCTTTGTGAAATTAAATTATGCTAAATTGCATTAAAAAGACAGATCCAAATAAATTAAATACTTTCCTAATATGACTTTCCCCTAGAAAACCTCTTCCACCACAACTGGCAGAGATGGAGGATCATGAATGAGATGGAAGGTAGGTCCAAGTGATAATCTACTGCACTGTTGGTCTTGCTCTGAAAAAAGTTTGAGAGCTAATATGTTGTTAGATTAATATGATTTTATTCTTAACAGAATTTTGCAGATGCCTTTAATTCATAATTACTGTAACTTGTATTGATTCTTTTATTTACAGAGAGAGAGAGAGAGGTCATAATCTCCATGTCCTCCACTGCTCTGTACTGGATAGAATCAGAACTGATCAACTGCTTGTCATAGGCTCCATGCTACTGACAGCTAATGATAGGTGATAGATACCAGTGTTTGTGGAGCAGGACAATCTGGGTCCTATCTCTGTTATTGCCATGAAGTTCCCAGTGGCTCTAGTGTGCAGCATGGTGACCACTATAGAGCCCTAAGTGAGCACTGATTTGTTGCGATATTTGATTTTAGTACTGGTGAAGGATGCTGCAAGCTGCCCAAATTAAAAAACATAGTAAGAGGACACAAAAAGTGCCACTGTTGCTAAACAACAAAGTAAATAAGCAGTTAGAGGCAAAAAGGCATCCTTTAAAAAGTAGAAGATAAATCCTATTTTGGAAAATAGAAAAGAGCATAAACTCTGGCAAGTGAAGTGTAAATATATAATTAAGAAGGCCAAAAAAGAATTTGGAGAACAGCTAGCTAAAGACTCAAAAAATAACAGCAAAAAATTTTTTAAGTACATCAGAAGCAGGAAACCTGCTAAACAACCAGTGGGGCCACTAGACAATCGAGATTCTAAAGGAGCACTCAAGGGGGATAAGGCCATTGCGGAGAAACTAAATGAATGCTCTGCATCGGTCTTCACGGCTGAGGATGTGAGGAAGATTCTCCATCCTGAGCCATTCTTTTTAGGTGACAAATCTGAGCAACTGTCCCAGGTAGAGGTGTCATTAGAGGAGGTTTTGGAACAAATTAATAAATTAAACAGTAATAAGTCACCAGGACCAGATGGTATTCACCCAAGAGTTCTGAAGAAATTAAAATGTGAAATTGCAAAACTACTAACTGTGGTATGTACCCTATCATTTAAATCAGCTTCTGTACCACATGACTGGAGGATAGCTAACGTGACACCATTTTTAAAAAAGGCTCCAGAAGTGATCCCACAGTACCAGGCAAATTGACTGAAACTATAGTAAAGAACAGAATTATCAGACACATAGATGAACACGATTTGTTGGAGAAGAGTCATCGTGTTTTTTGTAAAGGGAAATCATGCCTCACCAATCTACTAGAAATCTTTGAGGTGGTCAACAAGCATGTGGACAAGGGTGATCAGGTGGATATAGTATACTTAGATTTTCAGAAAGCCTTTGACAAGGTCCCTCACCAAAGGCTTTTAACCAAAGTAAGCTGTCATGGGATAAGAGGGAAGGTCCTCTTGTGGATCAGTAACTGGTTAAAAGATAGGAAACAGAGGGTAGGAATAAATGGTCAGTTTTCAGAATGAAGAGAGGTAAATAGTGATGTCCCCCAGGAGTCTATACTGGGACTAATACTGTTTAATATACACCTCTACTGTCTTCAGGAGCCAAAAAATCTTACCGCGTTATATTGAACTTGCTTTGACCCACTGGAGTGCACAGCCCCGCCCCGCCGGCGCACTGCTTTATCGCGTTATATCCGAATTCATGATATATCGGGTCGCGTTATATCGAGGTAGTGGTGTATTCATAAATGATTTGGAAAAAGGGGTAAACAGTGAGGTGGCAAAATTTGCAGATGATCTAAAGCTGCTCAAGATAGTTAAGTCCAAAGCACACTGCAAAGAGTTACAAAGGGATCTCACAAAACTGGTGACTAGACAGCAAAATGGCAGATGAAATTCAAAGTTGATAAATGCAAAGTAATGCACATTGGAAAAGATAATCCCAACTATACATAAAAATGATGGCTGTTGCCATTCAAGAAAGAGATCTTGGAGTCATTGTTGATAGTTCTCTGAAAACCAGTGCTTCTATATCCTGGGAAATTTCCCCAAATCTGGGAATTTGTGAGTAAAATGTTTGAATGAAAATTCCTAATTTCCCAAGTTGAAGCATTTTACTCACAAATTCCCAGGTTTTGGAAAATTTCCCAGGATATAGAAGCACTATAAAAAAACTTTATCTGGGAATTTTTCACCAGATTTGGGAAATTTTTAGCGCTAGGTTGGGAAAAGTTGGCATAACGATATAGAAGCACTGCTGAAAACATCCACTCAATGTGCAGCGGCAGTCAAAATCCTTATAGAATGTTGGGAATCATTAGGGAAGGGATAGATAATAAGTCAGAAAATATTATGTTGCCTTTATATAAATCCATGGTATGCCCATATCTTGAATACTGTGTGCAGATGTGGTCACCCCATCTCAAAAAAGATATATTGGAATTGGAAAAGGTACAGAAAAGGGCAACATAAATGATTAGGGGGATGGAACAGGTTCCATATGAAGAGAGATTAATAAGACTGGGAAAAGACACACTAAGGAGGGATATGATAGAGATCTATAAAATCATAACTGGGTGTGGAGAAAGTAAATAAGGAAGTGTTATTTACTTCTTCTCCTAACACAAGAACTAGGGGTCACCAAATGAAATTAATAGGCAGCAGGTTTACAACAAAAAAGGGAAGTATTTCTTCACACAATTCAAGTCAACCTGTGGAATTCTTTGCCAGCAGATGTTGTGAAGGCCAAGACTATAACAGGGTTCAAAAAAGAACTAGATAAATTCATGAAGGATAGGTCCATCAACGGCTTTTAGCCAGGATGGGCAGGGACGGTGTCCCTAGCCTCTGTTTGCCAGAAGCAGGAAATGGGTGACAGGGAATGGATCACTTGATGATTATCTGTTCTGTTCATTCCCTCTGAAACACCTGGCATTGGTCACTGTCGGAAGAATACTGGGCCAATTGGACATTTGATCTGTATGGCCGTTCTTATGTTCTCCTCAGAGAAGAACTGTCATTTTTCAATTGTCTCTAGGGTGACTTGTACCCCACTGTGGCAGTATAAAAACAAATATAAAAAAGGGTCAGCTCAGACCCAAGTAAAATAGCCAGCAACTGGGTGTATGGAGATTTGAAGAAATCAGCTGAAAACTAGGAAGAAAAAGAAATGGGGAGACAGTAACTTGCTCCTTAACAAAAGGTGACAAAAGACAATTTGACAGGACCCAGAGAAATAAAGGATGCACTAAACCAGGCTGAATGTTGCAAAGTAGCAGTGGTAACATTACAATGTCTGTTGTTACAAATAAATAATTGTCACAGATTACCATATAATAAGAAAGGAATGTGGGAACAACACACAAGTTGCCAATAAGCCCCAACAGAGTCAAACACCCCCATACCCAAAGCCTCTCAGTAAGGTTAATGTGGTTACCTAATCTAACAAAAGTTCGGGCAATTTAAATAACAGATTGACACTTCATCCCAAGTCAACACTTATCAAATAGAAAGCTTCAAGACAAAGGTGTCCTATCACATTTGTACTGTCTTTTTTGACATTGCATAGGTCTGGTCTCTGGTGCAATACCACATGTGGGTGATAAACAAGTTTCAAACCTGGGACCATCCACACTACTGAATAGGCCGTGACCACATGAGCTGAAAAGGCAATTCTAGGAGCAGTAGTAGGCAGTTCTATGTGTAGACAAGCAGTAACAGGATGCTTTGCCAGTGGGTTATGGTATTACAATGCAATTATCACCACGTTGTGACAAGATGACATTGCACTGGCCCCAAAGGGATTTCAGCCCCGCTTTAACTGTCCTGCTGGCCCATCAGAATCAGAAACAAGGCAACCCTGCTTGTCCCACTGAGTTCAGATGTTATACAGCTCCGGAAAAATACATTTTTTCTTGTGTTTCATTTGGGAGGTGATAGCTGTGAAGCTTGTAATTGTTAATTGTCAATTAGATCTTTAATTGGGAAGCAGCATTTTAACTGTGGAAGGAGCACAGGGTTGGGAGCCAACAATATTTTAATTCTAATCCCAGCTCTGCCACTGATTTCCTCTATGTAACTGTGAACAATTTAAACTCCTGTACAGCGAGGACAATGCTATTTCTCTCCCTGATAGGGGCTTGTGGAGAATTAATGAGCTGATGTTTGTGCAGCCTTTCCCGGTGGGGGGGCAAAAAAAGCTAAGCGATAATTAGATTGCTTTATCGTCAGGTTTTAACTTTGTTTTTAGTCCTCAGCTGTTCAAACCCCACTGCCCCAGCTACAAGAGTACACATGTGAAAAGTAAAACAAATGCGCCTCCTTGCCTTTGTGGTAGGAAAAAGCCCCTCATTGCAAAGCCCTGGGCAGGACCCAATGGGGGAAGGTTACCAATAACATTGCACGTTCCCCGCGTGTGCGGAAAAGGGCCGGGGGTTGCATCGGGCCACTTCTGGATGACTGAAGTGGCTAGAATTGGGAAGCCCCTTGGATGGAAATCTCACTTCATCACAACACGCTGCAAGCAACAAACCCGAGAAAGTGGCCGCTTATCCCTGTAATCGTGTATTGCGCAACAGGCAGGGTTTAAGGGGGAACTTCCCTAATCCCTCCTCCCGGGAAACTCCGGATTTTGTGCTGCAGCAAAGCGGCTCGCGTTTACACGGCTCACAAAGGCATGCACCCGTCTGGAGGGGTCTTTGCTGTGCAGGCCACCTAGGAGCTGCCTTATGAGGCTTCTCCCCCACCCCCCTTTTTCTGACCGGCCTCCTTAAGAAGGTCCCAGGAGGCAGAAAGCGGAGCCCGGTGTTTTGTTCTTATAGGGAGGGAAAAGTTTCGCAGAGTAACGCTGACATCCAGGAAATGAGTAAGACAGAAAGCGACCAAACCAGGCACGGCTAGCGGTGAGAAAAGTGAGCATGGGGCTAAGAAGAAAGGAAGAGATCCCGGGAAGCCTTTGCCCAGCGCATCGGCCGGTGGCTCCGTGAGCCCGTGTGTGGACGTTTACTAAGGCGAGGGAGAGGGGGCTGCCGTTTGCAACAGCACAGAAGTGGCTGGCGACAAGGCGCAGTAAGTCAGGAGTCCGCCTCCCTCTCTCCGCTTCTCTAACCTCAGTGGGGGCGACGGGCACAAAAACCTGCTTTCCTGGCTGGCAGGGGGCTGCAGCGCCCAAAAGGGGGGTTCGCTTGCTGCAGCAGCGGGGCTGGTTTTCTGCTTCACCGGGGATGCAATCTGCAGGGGAGGAGGGGTCCCTTTGATCCTCCATCTTTGGGGCTGTGAAGTGAGTTTATTTCCTTTTAACGCTTATTCCGCCCTCGAGCTCTCCTGGCCCGGGCCAGCAAACAAGCCCCTTCCCAGCATCCGAGCTTCAGGGGTGCAATCGGGCTCTAGTGGGTTAAGTGTGTGTGCGCGTAGTCCCTGCAGAGCAGGGGTTTTTGGAGCATGTGCTGTGGCCAGAGAGTGAGGAAGTTGGCTGAACTGGCTTGCTTGAAACTGTTTGGGCCCCTTGCGAGAGCAGAAGTACCACGGTTTTAAGGCCATTTAAAACGCTGATTAGGTACTGCACAACCCCTGTCGTCAAAATCAATGCTGTTCTATTTACTAGCGCGATCTCCAGCTGTTCTTTCACGTGGGCTAACCAGGCCATCAAATGATCACTTACATTGCAATTAATCACTGGCACATCCGCTACGTTGTCACCGAAGTTTTCAACACCAGCCTGTGTCTGCATAGATTTTCCTTCCGCATGTGTTGACATGCCTGCCTTGTGTCATTCTCCTGTAAAGCGAGGAGTGAATTACGTCCGAGGTGGGGACAGAGAATAAGAATAAGATGGGGGAGAAACTCTAGCTTAGTTGAGACTTTCTTCTTTTAAAAAAGAGCGCCAGTTTCTGCACAACATTTCTTAATCCTCAACTACTCCATGGATGGCCTACACACTGCAAAATATTTGCTGGTGTAGTTCTGGTGGTATAGCTCTAATGGCAAACCCCCTATGCAGGGGTTTGTGCTGGCAAAAAGGTACTTTTGCCAGTACAGAGTAGCAGCCGTGTTAGTCTGTATCCGCAAAAAGAACAGGAGTACTTGTGGCACCTTAGAGACTAACAAATTTATTAGAGCATAGTCTCTTTTTGCCAGTACAGTTTATTAGTTTCCTGAGCAAAATAATCTAACTAGCAAAAGCACTTTTATGCCAATATGACTTGTTCACACTAGGGCTTTTGCCACTGCTGAAATGTCTTTAAAAAGAAAATCACATCCCTAACAACAAAAGTTTCCGGTGTAGCCTGGCCTGGGGGTCCTTTCTCCTTTGAGCCATGGGACCCAATTCTGTAAACACGGTGTGTCAAGTTAAGCAGGCATGTGAGTACTCCCACCCACTGATATCACCTGGACGGACTCACAGTGCATAAAGTGAAGCACTCGTGTAAGTCTTTGCATGATCAAGGCCCCAGCATAGAAAACCTAATCATCTGCCCTTCTTCTTCTGCACCAAACATACAAGGGATCCCTAGCTTACAGATGTTGTTAGTGAATAACCAATGTGGAATGCATGTTACACAAGCTTCATCTCTGGCTTAAAATGACACATCTGCCTTGGGTTTTAATGCTAACACAGCCAAGCTGAGTGTAACATAAATGTTGACAAGTGAAGGCTGCATTTTTATAAAAACGTTACTGTTTCTCTTGTATGTGTGTTTTATCTCTTCCTAAGATAGCCTGGCCGCCCGATTTGCCTCTCATACCAGTGCAAATCAGGAACAGCTCTGCTGGAAGTCACTAGTGGTAAAACCAGTGACAAGGGAGAGTCAGGACTCCAGTGGACTTTCCTACACTAGAATTGAGGCTGGAATCTTCCACTGGGTGTTGCTTCCCTGGGGATAGTAATTGTGGAAGCAGTGTAAACAGGACTCTGTTATTTACTGGCATTCTTAATACTAGGCCATCTGCATTAACTCTGAGATGTGTTAGCCTGTGGTAAAAATGCTAGTGCTGTCACTACACTAGTGCAATAAAAGTAATGCCGACAGAAACTGTCTGGAGTGTCTTCTTCAACCACTCTGTCATGACAGCTGTTTGCACTGACTTATTGAGAGCATGAAGGTAAACACAGGACCATTGATATATCAGGAGTAGCAGCACTTTGTATGTGCAGCCCAGTCACCACAACTTGTTTTGAATGATCTTGGGACTGTTTTAATGTTAGCTGCCAGTGCAGCATGGCATTATTGCAGCTGTTACTACAGAAACACTGTCCACTGGTATGGACTCTTTGATTTAAAAATGACTGGTCTGGATTTTCCTTTAGCTCCTTGACATGTTTGAGAGAGTCTTCGCTTGCCATGTTTGAGAACAGCTTCTCCAGTCCTTGAGTGAAAACAGGTCATGAAAACAGAAACTCAACCTTCTTTAACACATGGGACTTAGTGTGTTTCATCTTCAAAGCACTTAACTAACCCTCACGATATTCCCAGGTGGGAGATAAACCTCAATAACTCTGAGCACCACAGACATAGAGAGGTGAATGATTTGTCAAAGGTCAGGGAGTGAGTCAGTGTGAGCATTGGGATCAGCCACTGGGGATTCCTGGCTCCTCGTCTTGTGCTCTTGCCACCAGATCACACCTAAGTGCTTTAGTAACACTTGTAAACAGGGATTTAATTGGGGGAGAAGGAAGAAATCAGTGGTATTATTCCAAGGTGTGCTCACAAAACAAGCTCTACCCCCTTAGCAATATTCCTGTAGGTAGATCTTCCTCATATAACTGTCTCTGGACTTTCTTCCATGCTTTGAGTGGCAATGAAGTAGTTAACAATTTGACATTTTAATCTGTCATCACTAGAACTCAGAGTTAGCAATCCCTTATCATAGAATCATAGAATATTAGGGTTGAAAGAGACCACAAACAAGGGCAGTTTGCACGTTCCTGAGCTGTTGTTTCAGGCTGTCTGCACACTCAGGCAGACATCATTGTGTTTTACATTTTTGATTCATATTTTGAAGGCTCTTTTCACAGCTGTAGGGTCTAGGGCATGCTGCCTCTTGTGATGCTAGCTAAATTGCAACAGAGGAAAAACTAAACACAAGAGATTTAGGCCCAGATCCTCAAAGATACTTCGGCCAGGTCTACACTCCAAACCTATGTCAGTATAACTGGCGCTCAGGAGTGTGAAAAATCCACACCCCTCAGCGATATAGTTTTACAGACCCAACCCCCTCTGTAGACAGCACTATGTGGATGAGAGAGCTTCTCCCATCGACATACCTACCGCCTCTCAGGGAGGTGGATTAACTATACCGATGGGAGAAGCTGTCCTGTGGGCATAAGAGTGACTTCACTTAAGCACTACAGCGGCACAACTGCATCAGTGTCTCTGCACCGCTATAGTGCTGTACGTGAAGACGAGCCTTAACCTACTGATTAAAGTACCTAAATGCCTTAGAGGATCTGGGCCTTAAGACCTGGCTTTCAAAGCTGCTGAGAATTTTCAGTTCCAAACAAAGTCAACAGCAGGGGTGACTGCTCAGCAGCTCTGACCATCAGGATCTTAATTTGGGTTTGAAAGGAAAGCTTAGATTCTGCAGCACAAGACCGCAGCTGCCATAAAGTGGGACTGGTTTGCTAAGCTGCTGTGAATCCAGCCCCTCTGTTTGTAGCTCCTGTATCCCATCCCAAAAGGACATCGCTCATGAGAGGAATGTCCATGGGGAAGAGGTGCTGGTTTAACAGGTAGGTGACCTCCACCCCATCAATACTAATACTTCCAGTGATATAGCTTCCTGTCCTGCACTCCCTACTGCTCACGACTGGCTCAGCTGAGTAAGCACTGCAGGATTTGAACCTGCATAAGGAGGAATATTTTGGGGCAAGCGGCTCATTCACAAAAACACACCCCTTAAAATGGCTTATTTCGGGGGGCCAGCCTGTTGCCTTTATTATTCCAGCATTCTGCTCTCCATGTGTCCCTTTAAATCGTACAGCTTTCCCTGCTTTGGGTCCCAGCTCTCCGTAGGCAGCAGCACAGCACTAGAGATCAACAGATGCGCGCGTACAGTCCCTAGACTTGAATGTCTGTAGGCTGGATGCTCTCAGGAGAGAGCCCTCGCCTCTGGCACTTCCTTCCCCTATTGGTCCAACAGAGCCTGTGTATCCATTGGCCTTCAGGAGGCTGCGTAAAAGCCATTTGCTTTGCTGAGTCCTTTGCCTCCAGAGGGTGATTTCAGGGCAGGTTTGTGTTCGCAGCTCAGGGTCTGTTCTACTTCATCTGGCAGTGGCTTAGCTAATTTAGTGTTGCGCCCGGAACTCTAAAATGTCTGCATCAAAAAATAAATCGCTCTCCCAGCTGTACCTCTGTGCTGGCGCGCTCTCTCTCTCTCTCTCTGCATGTTGCCCTATTCTTGGCTACCTGCCTCCCATCCTGTTTCCTCCGCTGGAGGAATGAGTGGGCAGAAAGATTTGCTTACACAGCTGAGCTGGCACCTCCGGCGTTGGGCACAGCAGCAGCATCCCCACCCAAACCACACCCAGGGCGCTCTCACTCCCTACCTTCAGCTCCCTAAACTGGAATCATCACCTTCCTGCACCACCCAGCAATTAAAAGCTAAACGGGAAAGCATGACTGCTTGGCAACCATCTCCTGGCTGTACTCTTCAAAGGGACACATGGAGAGCGCAGCCTCCAAACAAACCATGGGCGGGTGGGATTTGTGCACCTGCAGCTCGCCCCAAATTGTTTTGAAGAGGCCAGGTCCTGGCACAGTAGCCCACTGCACCACTGACTCTCTAGCCCTCTCTGCTAGTCAGTGCAGTGCCTCTCCAGCACCTTGCAGAGGGGACATCGTCTTTTGGAGCAGCTTGCTTTACCTAAATAGTCCTTCAGGCTTCAAAGGGTCGATTTTACGAGCCTCTGACTGTTGCCAGGGGTCTGTGGGCTCATTGCTGTGACAATCCAGCCCTTCTAGATGTGGGGCCTGATTCTTGGTGCCATGCACCTTCAGTTGTCCCTTACATCTGTGCAAATCAGGTGTAAAATGCGTCCAGGCCAGAAATGCTGATCTGGCAGCCCATTGCACCTTGTGCAAGGGTGTGAAGAATCCGGCCTCATGAGGCCTCTTCTCAGTTAATGAGGAAGTGCCCCGCTTTCAAAAACTGCTGACTTTGCACATGACCTGTCAATGGGCATTGGGGACCAAAGAAGTAGGGGAGCTTTGGCCCAGATCCGCAAAGATACTGAGGCCTTTATGTCCAAGTTTTGGCTCTGCTGCCAAACCCGGTAGGTGC